GGGCCCGGGCGGTGCTTGGATCCTCTCTAGGCTGCAGATACCTCATTCTACAAACGCAGGCACCACACAGAAGCCGTACCGAACCCACAGGTGCCAATCCTGACGGTGACTCTTTTGACCAAGCTCTAGCCAGGCCTCGGTGAGCCTTCTTCTCAAATATGCCCCCTCCGTCAACTCCCTCTTGTCTTTAGGCTGACTTCAGAGGCGTTCTGCTAAGGCAGTTTAGGAAGAATCCCCTCACCCTTCATTTTTGATGTACAAGGCCTTGGCCGGCCCTCTGAGAGACTGCTGCCAGCTCCACCCTGTGAACTGGTATTTGCGCCCTCCGGTCCCACTCAGCACAGTCTCTCCGTCTCCTTCCCTTTCTCTCCCTCCACCTGCCATGGTGGTTTGAATAGGTATGACCCCCAGAGACTCATGTGTTCCAGTGCTTGGCTGGAAGAAGTGGCACTGTTGGGAAGTGTGGCCTTGATGGAGTAGCCTCAGAGACAGTGGTTTCCCTTGTGAACCATGCCCAGGCTCCCTGCCTCCCTTCCTGTCCCGAGGAGAGTCTAGAAGGCTTTTCTCTACTGTGCTCTTTGCGTGCTTACTGACTCTCAGACAAGACTATATTCCCTCGAGAGCAAGGCTTTGTCTTGGAACTCCCCCGGCATCTGTCACAAGGCTGGGCCGCAGACGCTTGGAAGCTGTGTACTGGAGTACTGAGCGGGTCATGCAATCACCCCTTTATCTCCAGAAGCCACTAAGTCCTCACCTACATAAATTCACAACTAAGCAAGGGTTCTTTCCTGCTCTGACTAATCCTAGATTGAAAGACCCCTACCCAGGGCCCCCCTAGGAAAAGAAAAGCAAGGCCAGGCCGTTGCCTAATGAAAGAAACCCAGACCAGGTGTCTCACCCTCAAAACAGGATGTCTGTGATCACTATAGCAGTCATGGGACCCGGATAATAATTGCTGAAGTGTGCTGGGAACTTTCATATGACAATACTAGAAAACCTAGTCCTTGGCAACTACCCTGGCCCCCAATTGTGTCTGATCACTATAGCAATCATGGGACCCGGATAATAATTACTGAAGCGTGCTGGGAACTTTCATATGACAATACCAGGACACCTAGTCCTTGGCAACTACCCTTGCCCCCAGTTGTGTCTATGATCACCATAGTAGTCATGGGACCAGGATAATAATTGCTGAAGTATGCCTGGGTCTTTCATAAAGTAATACCAGGAAACTTAGTCCGTGGGAACTACCCCTGCCCCCAAGATGAGCCAATGAAATGCCTGTTACTTATGTAACCATTGAAACTCTATAAATATTGTACTCCCTGAAAGCCCGGTATGCTCTGCACCCGAGTTGCAGTAGCATCCGCAGGCGCCTGTGTACTCAATAAATCACCTCTTGCATTTGCAGCCAGTGGTCTGGCCCCCGGTTCTTGGGCAGAGGGTTCGGTTCAGTGCCCGGCGCTTTGATGCCGAGGTTTTTCAAGATCTAGAAATGTTCTGGAACCACTTTTCATTCCTTAAAGCAACAATGAAACACCAAAGCAAAAAGAAATTATTTTACAACCTACTCTGATAACAAGTAAGTTGCAAGGGATAGACCAGAGAATGACCTATTAGCCATTAAACTTTGTATGTAAGATCATCCACATAATTTTCACACCAGTTACCTAGGGTTCTGAGAATACATAAAACAAGGTACAATTAATAAGATTGAACGTACATCTTTTCAAATAAAAAATAAAAAAAGGGAACCAAACTACTAAGCTGAACACTGTAACACACTGTGTTGGGGAAGTCCTGTTATTTGCCTGTTATTTGTCAATAAAGTACTGTTGAGCCTATAGGAATCTAGATAGGTGGGGCTAGGAGTCCAGGAGGATTCTGGGAAGGAGAAACACAGGAGAGTCGAGATGTAACGCCATTGGGGTAGGAGCCCAGAACTATTCTCCGGTAAGAGACATACTTAGATTAACAATTATGGGGTAATTACTTAAAGCAGAGCTAGCCAGTAAGAGACAAGCAAGGCCAACAGCTTCATAATTAATATAGCCTCCTGTGTGTTTATTTGGGACTGATGCGGATCTAGAACCAGGCTGGCGGGAAAGCGGCTCTGGAACCAGGCTGGCGGAAGGCTTCTCTCAAAGAAAAAGCTTCTCTTAACAGAATGGTGGCAGCGGTGGGATCATGAATTTCCACGCAGAATGACAAAAGCTTTAAAGGAATTTTAGAAACAGAAGAACAGAGAGACGCACAGATTTTTGGTAGCAGCATTTTCTCAGGTGTGCTCTGTTTTGCTAGCTACAAGCAGAGATTCACGCGGCTCGCTTACGGGAGTCTTCCTGACTCAGCATAAAACGAAAAAAAAACCAGCAAGGTTGTTTTAAGAGACTCTGCTAACAATTGAAAAGTTGTACGTACAGCTGGAAGTGGCAGCTTTTGCTGGATGTCAGCATGGACTGAGGCGGTAAGCTGAAATCACGCTTACGCCCGCCATCTTGACGAAAAACCGGCAGTTTAAAACAGCCTCGGTTTTACAGATAAGACATGTGGCCAGAAAAACGTAAAGATTTACTGTAAAGTCAGACTTGGATAAAGGAAAGCCTCTAAAGGTTTACAGTGTGTTTAAAAATATACGTGAGATTGAGAGAGAAAATGAAACGACAAAGTGGTAAATAAATAAAAAAGCCGACATTGTGGTGGCGCACGCCGGTAGGATTTCCTCCAGAGGCAGAGGCAGGCGGATTTCCAAAGAGAAACCCTGTCTCAGAGAAAAATAAAAGTAAAATAAATAAAGTAATAACAGATAAATAAATAAGCCACGTAAAGATGGAAAATACACAGAGAGTCTGGATACTGTACGCTATTGTGTTTTTTGTTTTTTCATTGCTAAAGGAACAAATGCTAAAGTACACTTGATTATAAATGCTGCTGAATTAATCCAATTTATATCTTTTGAAAATACCTTGACTTCAAAATTTAAGTATAAGGATATGTTAATCGGAAAAGGAGATTTTATTTATGTTTCTACAGAAAATGAAAAGCTGAGAATTCCTTCCAGGCTTCTGTGGTTTGACGAACCAAGACCCCCGGAAGCAGTGGACCAGGTGTTCCAACTATTGAGACAGCTAAGATGATGCAGCTTTACAGACCCCGAAAATACGGACTTATACAGGTTTCTGAGTTTTGTCATGATCCCCATGGTATGAACAGCGCCCCCTTCCAGCAGGAAGCAGTTTGGAATGAGCGACGTCCTAATTCCCATCTTGTTTATAAATCTTTGTTTTCATTTAAATGGGATTGTTTATAATTGGTTAATGATCACAGCCAATCTACTTTTTAATGGTAAAAAGGGGAATTGTGGTATGGGTATTGTTTTTCATTTACTGATACAAATTCAAGGTCAATTTTGTGATGTTTATATTTCTCCTCTTGATTAAGTATTGTGTGTACACGGATCTTTTAAAATGTAATGCATAATTGAATACAGACTATAGATAGTTACTTATAACAGAATTTATAGTTAGGTAAGTTAGGTTTTCTAGATATACAGAAATATATTTGAGATAGATAAACAGTCTTCAAACCTCTCAAAGACCTTCAGAAAATGGCATTTAAAATGGTTTAGGGTTTTTCTTGACAATGAGAAATGTCTGCTCCTGGCAGCACCAATTATGTCTGAGAGGAAGGTGGGCATAGAAGAAACTTGTTATGGAGTTTGCTTTCAACATGACAAGATTAGCCATTTAGGCAAGAAACTGCTCTTGTCTGTATTGTTTGACTGTTGTTGTATAAACTGGACATGCAGGACCCACAGGAAAGTGACTGCTGAACTCAGTCTTACAGGGTTCCTGCTTCATGAAAGAGTCTAAGAGACTTTCTACAGGACAAAGAAAAATCACTGACAGACTGCCAGCGCAGATGGACAGTTTGAAATTTCCTGCTTTGCTGAGAAGTGTTCCAAGCACATTGTGGTCTATGGGCTGAAGATGGATGCCCCAACGTTACAGAGGAACTTTGGGTGACTGTCCAGGCAGTAAGATGTCTCTGTCAATCCTAGTGTTTATATATTATCCTTATGTGGTCTTTGATGGAGTTGAAGATAGATAGTTATAATTATAGTTTTCCTTAGTTATGATAAGAGATAAGCTACATATAGGACTTTAGACTCACAGGAATGAGATAGATGATATTTTCTTTAAATCTTGCTAAAATATTGTAACTATGTTCTTACTTGATAACTGTTCTGTTATATATAATTTGACGGTGTTAAAGTTAAGACCTTTCTTTTGTTTAAACAGAAAAGAGGAGATGTTGGGGAAGTCCTGTTATTTGTCAATAAAGTACTGTTGAGCCTATAGGAATCTAGATAGGTGGGGCTAGGAGTCCAGGAGGATTCTGGGAAGGAGAAACACAAGAGAGTCAACATGTAACGCCATGGGGGTAGGAAGCCTGGAACTATTCTCCGGTAAGAAACATACTTAGATTAACAATTATGGGGTAATTACTTGAGTCAGAGCTAGCTAGTAAGAGACAAGCAAGGCCAACAGCTTCATAATTAATACAGCATCCTGTGTGTTTATTTGGGACTGATGCGGATCTGGAACCAGGCGGGTGGGAAGGCTCCACTCAAGGAAAGCTTCTCTTAACACACTGGAGTCAAGATGTTCGTTTGTTTTTTAAAGAAACTAGGTAGCACATTCTATAAACGTGCTGTTAGAGAACCAACAGTCAAAATGTTTGGAAGGCTCCTCTCTGGCTGCACACAATAGCACACATTCTCAGAAACAGTCTTCATTTATTTGACCTGAAAATCAAACAAATTCAGCTAACATCAGAGGCTGCCTGTTTGTTTTATGTTCCTGGTACCAAAGCCTGTTATTACTGGCTTTTAAGGACCTTAAAAAAACAACAAGTGTCTGTCATAAGATGCCTTTTCAAGTTGTAGATAAGACGAGAGCCATTTTCAAACATCCCAGAAGCCACTGGCAACCGTCCCACTTAACGTATTGTGAGCGCTGCTCCTATATGTCACCTCATTTGGTCCTAAATGTTTATTTATTTCTAAACATAACAACACCTAACCCTTAATAGGAAAACACAACCCCACCTTGTGAAGAGGAGATCCACCCTGAAAAGCCACCAGCTGAAATCCTTAGGACTTCACATTCTACAACCCAGAAGTGGCAAAATCTACAGGTATCAGGCTGTCTTCGTGTGTGGTACACCCGTGGCTGTATGCATCCCCGTGAGCTTCAGCCTAGCAGAGAGGAACTGAGCATCTGCACAGGAAGCACAATCAAGTGTGTCAGATATCCAACTGTGTCAGCCAACGGCAGGCGGAACCTGATGGAGAGACAACCCATCTTCACCACACAAGGGAAACCCAGGGCCTTCGGGGTCTCAGACCTACTCCTGTCAGTGCTGGTTCTCAAACGTATACCACAGAACACGAGCCATCCAGTTGTGACTATTGGACAGCTCATCTTTCCCAGTTAGACTTGAAATTTAAGATGAAATGGATGGGCAGAGGAGAGGTGGACCCAGACAAATACTGGGCACAGAATGGCCAGGCAAACTGATTCAGACTGCCCAGTCATGGTGAAATGTGTCACTGTAAACAGTAACTCAACCCTGAAAGTGGAGAGACCAGAACGATATGCAGGCGGGCGGGCACTTTGCACACACAGTTCAATTATCTTGCTGTTAACTTAGCCATATCCAGACTCATCACTTAGGACTAAAAATAGGACAGAAGGCTTTTACAGCATCCCAACCAAGACCACAAATCAAGATGCTTATTAGAATGTATACCAGGAAATTAGAAAATATAACATACATTTCTAGTGTTTAAGGTTAAAAAAAGAAATGAGATGCTAACAACACCTTGCTTTTTATATAGCACTCAGCTGTGAAAAGCTTAAGTACGGTCTACATTTTTTAATCTAATTATAGTGATTCCAACCATATCCTTGTGAAATAGGTAGAGTGTAAACATCAAACATCCGTACTTCTGCTTAGCTGCTGATTTATTTAATCATGTTGCTTGTTAGACTCAGGTTTAGTCAGCCCAGCATCTCAAGCTCCCACAGATGCAAGTCTCCAATTACCCTCCAAAGTGGAGGTAGACCTCTCGATCTCCATGCCCAGGAATGAGTAAGTTTAGAAATAAGACCATTTTAAACAGTCCATGGGATCTACTTTTCCTCAGGAGCAGACTGAGAAACAGCTATGATCACCACGGAATCCATTGGCATGCAGAAACTTTAGACAGTGAGAATTTACTTCCCACCCTCACTGACAGGAACTGACAGCTTTGTCCTTCAATGGACAGAAGGGACTCAGAGCAAATGCAGGGCTAAAGTATACAGAGAGACACTAGCCTGGGAAACCAACGGGCTTAGGAACAAAGGAGGAGTCAACCAATACTCGCAAATCCCAGATACTTACATTTTTCTTCTAAACCTTGACTCAAAAGAAGAATTAGTTTGTCACACAGATGGCTGGGGTAAAAGATAACCTTTGTGTCTTGTTTGTGCCTTCTGAGCATTGTTGTAAGGAACCTTTAGAAGCGGGTATACTATTACAGTGTTAAGAGGGTCTCCCCAGACATGCCCAGTAAGAGTAACTGCTCTCAACAGCAACTCTTGGTGAAACAATTCTTTCTTTCCCTCAAATAAGCAGGTAAGTCACAGCCAAAGGGAGTCAGGACGGCAAAACCCAAAGGCACTGTTTAAGAGACAGGAGAACCCGACTACACACAAGCAGCTCGCAAAGCCAGGAGCTCCCTCCTCCACACGCCCTTCCCTCCATCTTATAATTTTACCCAGCCCGCAGCGTCAGGAGCCCAATCGACTCCCAGCCCTCAGCCTGCCTTTGCCTGCAGAGCTGGAGTGGAAGGCACACTTCCACTCCAGCCGTTTCTTAAGGTTTTTAAAGCAGGAATACATATTACAAACTATGATTTCTCTGTTGTTCGTGGGTTCAGTTGGTAAACTACTGCTCTTTTCAGCCTAATTTAAAGAAATGCTCATTTTCCCTCTTCAACCTCCAAACCAATCGATACTCCTGAGATAGTAAGAGGAAATTTTAAGATATCCTGGGGGAAACCGTGTCTGCCTCAATGCTGGGTTTAAATAAAGTTTAGTAAATATTGTAACCTTGGATGAAACAAAATTTTAATGTATTACCTTGACTTCCATAGTCTCATAAATTATATACCCTTTCACATCTGAAAATTTTTATTCTTTCATACCTTGCTAAGAGTTCAGTCATGAGATCAATATCTATCTTTTCAAAAGAATTGTTTCTCTTAATGTGTGGCATCAATTAATCTAGACTCCAGACGATGCTGAGCCTACAGGCAATGAGTGTGTAAACAAAGTCCTGGTCCTGGTGTGAGGGAGACGCCTTCAGAGTCAGTGTGGCCCCGAAGTCCCCAAACCCTACTGCTGCCTTGGTCTGAATGAGGGATGTCCCCACAGGCTCGGGCATCTGAGTGTTTGGCTCACGGGTGTGGCTGCTGTCTGGGTGGAGTCATGTTGAGGGAATTACAGTACTGTTTATAGCATCACCTTACTTCCTATTTGTTCTCTCTACTCTCTGCCTACAGTTAAAGATGTGAGCTCCCAGGTTCCTGCTCTTGCTGTCACATCTGTCTCTTGCTGACATGCCTCCCACCAAGATGGTACCATAAGCCCAAATAAACTCTACGTTCCATAACGTCTTTTGGCTGCGGTACCTTACAGCAGCATAGAACCACTTAATTCCATCGTCCATCATTGGGATTAAAGGATAAAACCCTGCAGCTGAAGACACCACACACCTTGCAGCAAGACACAGAGAAAACAAGCGAGAACAGAGCTGGAAACTTCCTCCCTGCTGTGTAGCTTGCAAAGTTCCTCAAGCTGCCATGCAGGACGCTGCAGGAGAAAAATGCACCAAGTCTCACCCATATGTGAGCCCCAGGAACCAAAAGCAAGCAAACCTTCTGGGCAAGAGGTTCCCACCCGTGTAACAGAGGCACAGCGCTGTGGAGCCAACCAAGTGCTCTCAGCCTGGACCAGGTTCCAAGGGGAAGCTCCAATTCCAGACCGGACAATCCCAGTTAACCCAGTAATCACAAAACCAAGCAAACGTGAATGTGGGGCAGGGACAGGGACAGGGACAGGGAGGTGAGAGCAGTCGGTACAGCAGGCACCTGTGTGAGATTGTCAGATAACAAATGTAACCAATAAAAAAGAGACAATTTATACCACACCATGCACACGCCTTTTTAATACATATGAAACAGACAGGAAACAAAAACTCTTCCCAAGCGTCCTGAGTCAGACGCTGCTCCTACCATGCCAGCCCAAGTATGATATAATCTGTGGCTTGAGGAGGACCTTGGCCGATCCCAAGGCCGGTGAGAGACAAACATGCCATGCAGACAAAACTTACACGTGAAAAGTTTTATTAGGGGAAGGGAGGGGAGAAGGGGATGGAAGGGAGAGAGAGAAAACAGAGAAGGGGGACAAAGACCTGCTTGCCTCTTCAGAGGAACAGCAGGAAAGAGAGCAGGATTTAAAAACATTAAGAGGCAGGCATGTTAAGTATGAGCTACGCAGGAGTTTCGTAAATTCAATGTCATCTACATGTGATCAGACTGACCCCTTTGTAAAACAGGTACAGAAGGAATCTTTTAGCAACGAATCCACAAGGAATTTGGTTTATTCCCTACTGGGGACAACTACATTTCAGATCTAAACTGACAAAAAATCTTCGTTCACCTCAGCAGGGTGGATTTCCAGCACCATAAACGGTCAGAAGACTCAAGCCATGTTTCTGAGAATAAAGATGACGAACAGCGTGAGAGAACCCGGCGTGAAGAACTAGTATACTGGCTACTTAAAAAAAAAAGACATTTGCAAGCCAAAAGCCCCTGCAGCCTGCACGATCAGGGCTCTCCACAGGCAAGTCTGAGCCAGGGCTAGTTGCCTGAAGGCTTGCTTCTCATTAAAAGTCCAATGGAGACAGATCAAGGGCTGACCCCTGTGCTAAGGGGCACCTGGTTTTCCATCCCAGCTTTTACTTTGCACACTTCTGGTTATTTCTAGTCTTACCATGAGAAGGGTGTGACTCTTTGCTTAAATGAGTGGTTCATGTGGAGGAAAGCCCCGAGAAGGAGAGTTAAAGCTAACCTTTCAGGCCGGGCTGGCTTTAGCTCAGCGGTTACTTCGGCAGTGCACACACTGGGTACCTACCATGCGTGGCTGTGGTGGAGCTGCGCCACCAACTCCTTACAACACTAACCTTTCAGTGGTTGTTGATAAGGGCCAGGCATGGGGAGCAGAGAGAGCAGGGCTTCTGTTGAGTTCTAGGTCTACATACTGGATCCCTGCCTCAAATGATGACAATGACCACAAGCTAAGACAATGTTCAAATACTTTATGAAGAAAAAAGAATTAACAGGAGGGCTTGGGGGATGGCTCAGTGGTCAAGAGCACTGGCTGCTCTTCCAGAGGTCCTGAGTTCAATTCCCAGCAACCACAGGTCCTGAGTTCAATTCCCGGCAACCACATGGTGGCTCACAACCATCTGTAATGAGATCTGGCGCCCTCTTACCGCCTGCAAGAATACATGCAGGCACAACACTGGATGCATAATTAATAAATCTTTTAAAAAATACCAAAGTCTAAATACATATTCTAAGTAGCTAGAGAGAACACAGGCTCTCCCAAACTTATATCTGATGCATGAAAATTTTCCCAATTTCCCATGAGTAAACTTTTAAAGAAAAAGGAGACAGGGAAAAGAAAGCATGCGCAAATACATGTGACACATATGCAAATGCATGCACATGCACATACATTGTCATGTGAAATGTTTTATATATAAAAGACATTTATTACAGCAACTGCTCTATAAAATTGTCCCAAGCTAAGCCACATTAGGTGCCAGATACAAAAATACTCAATTTACTTCAATGTTAATAGTAGGAACCTTTGCCCAGTTCAGTAAACATTTACTGCATGGCTACCATGCACTGGACCCACTGTCTTCAGACACCCCAAAAGTAGTAATAAAGATGTAATAAGTCAGCTGGAGAGAGGGCTCAGTGGTTAAGGTTGAGCACTTACTGCAGAGGAACTGAGTTCAGTTTCCAGCACCCATGCTGGAGGGACCACACCTCCTATTACCCAGGGTCAGCGCCTGTGGTCTCTGGCACCTGTACTCGTGCGTGTACAAGGAGTGTGCATGCACATTCACACACAAGATTAAGAAATAGTACGATGATCTTAAAAGGTATAACTTGTAAAGTTCTTCCTCACACTGCTAGGCAAAGTAGGCTAAAGGCCATAAGACCACATCTCCCTTTGACTCCCCATCAGAAATCCCTTTTGGAATGTCACTGCCTCCAAATACATACTCTAGCAGACTGTGTTATTATGAAAAACGTCTCTCAGACGCTAGCACACTCCTGCAGGAGTTAAATTATTGCCTGTGGGCATGCGATCTGCTTTCAGCTCAGGAAGTGGGAGCAGAAAGGAAAGCATAAGGACTTGTAAGCCAACTAGAGGCCTGCCAGGGCCCTGCTCCCTTTCATCATGTGCGCTGGGGTGGTGTCCGCAGAAGGCGCTGGACAAGAAGTGCACTTGTGTTGTCAACTGGAGGCTGGAGGCTGGGTACTGTGGTGCAGCTTAGCAGCAGCTGACTCAAAGCAACGTGTGTAAGGCAGGCATGACACCTGAGTCCTCAAATAGCCGGGGCACTGCGCTTGTTCTCCAAACGCCTGGGAAGGCTCCTTTGCTGAACTTTGGGCATCCTGAACCCTCAGTCAAGCCATAGGCATGAATGAAACTCAGAGAACGCCCTGGAAACATGGTGTACGGGAAACACTGGAGTAGCACTGAGAAGACTGAGTCCCACAGATGCCGCAAACAACCTCAAGAAGGAAGGGTTTGTGCTGAGTGGGCTTGGGGGTGCTTACTGTACAAGTGAGATGTCACGTAAACAACGACTTTATAAAATTAAAATGCTGCCCGAGGCTGAGCCGGAAGTGACGCCAGACCCAACTGCTACAGGTCGACAGCTGCCACGTGCACGAGGACGGGGCTCCGCCGCACTGCGCGTGCTCACGGTGAGGACAGTAAAGAGCAAACACAACCAATGTGGAAACACACGAGCACACGGCCCAAGGGTGACACGCTTAGACACGCAAAGACAAACCAGCCATACATCTACATAATAAGCCTACGCAGATGCACTGGCTTGGAATTCGGGAAGCACTCTAAAAATAGTAAAAATAACATGATATAATCTCATAAGCTTCCTAATTATAGGATAAAATTCCAGGCTGCAATTCAGAAGTAAAAAAAATCATGATCTCGGGCAGGAAATATTTAAAATTATTATGCCATATTCATGCTTGTCCCTTTGGGTTTAAAAAATGTCAGGAACCATATTACCAATGTATTTATAAAAGCATATTAAAATGTTTTCTCCTTATAGACTTAGAACAGGCTTCAAGTGTAAGCAAAATAACCTTAAAGATCTGAGCTTTTGACAACCAAGAAAACTTCCCGAAAGCAGAGCCCCACACTGAAGCTCAAGGTGGAGCAGCTGGGCCTGAAGATGCAGCTCCGTGGTAGGCGCTTGTCCAGCGTGCGTAGCCCTGACCCTAGCATGGAGGGGCAGAGAGGAAATGCTGGGCCCCTGACTAAAGTAGGAAGGTCCCCAGAGGTCACCTGTGCCTGTTCACACAGTAGCAGGAAGGAGGGACTTGTGAGGTCCTGGGGCTTCTTCGCAGACCGGAGTCTACCTGATAGAGCTTAAATTCCAGAAGAGAAGAGCTAATAAAGTAATCAACACATGACACACGCGTGACACACGGAGAGCTGACGCAGAGAATGGGACAAGATAACAAGGCGGCCGCCATTGTGATCTGGGAGCTCGGGACTAGTTGAGAAAGCATTAGCAGTTTCTGGATTCCAGAGAAGGTCCAACCAATGCGAAGACCCCATGAAAGCCGCTCAAGAGGCAAAGGCAATTTGGCTGATGCAGGCAACCAAGGGGAGTGCAGAGAGGAACCCAGGCAGGAGCAGCTAGACCAATACACTCTTCAGAGAGCATTCTTTATCTGAAGTGCAGCAAGAACCCCGGGAAGGGTGAGGAGGGAGCACCACCCTGATTTACAGTGGGGAAGCTGCCTATGGGACACTCTGGAGCAGGCAGGAACCGGAGAAACCAGGGGAACCACGGCGGATCACACATCACACAGTGTGGCAGGGGCTAATGTTTTAGAATGGCGAGCTTCAAGAGAAAGCCTCCAAGGCTGCACGGTGGCATTGATACCGTGTGGATGACGGACAGCAAAAAATTGCCAGCCATGAAGGCAAGACATGGCAGCACATGCTCACAATCACAGCATTCTGGAAACTGAGGCAGGAGGATCAGGAGATCAAAATCATCTTGATCTACACACTGAGTAAGAAGCTGGCCTGGACTAGATAAGAGCATCTAAAAAAAAAAAGAAAGAAAAAGGGAATTGGCATAATGGCGCAACTCAGAGATGACACAGCATTTCCTAGAATGAGAAGGGTCTGGGGGCGCAGATTAGGGAAGGAATGGCATCCAGCCTGCTTTTTTTGTTGTTGTTGTTTTGTTGTTTTGAGACAGGGTTTCTCTGTACTGTCCAGCTTGCTTTTGTCATGTGAGTTACGTCTGCCTCTTGTTAGGGGCCCATGGGCTGCTGGAATGATATCCATACACTTGCTTACTCTTCTCTCTTCTCTCCACGGCTTTCTCAGAGCAGCAGGGGCTGAGCGGCTCATGTCTGCCTTCACCTGAATCTGTTTACAAAGTCTGATAAAACTAACGAAACACTGAGAACACGTAAGTTATATTTACTCATAATAAACTTGCTTGCTTATACTACACTATAGATGGTTTCAAGATTTTACTAGAAAAAAATGAAGCCCTCAGAAGAGTAGTAAAAGAAAGTGCAGGTTAGTATTTACAAAATCTCAGAGTGAGAATGTTCTTTTAACACAAAGTCAAGAGTCATAAAAATGGAAAATAATGTTGGTTAGCGGGTTGGGAACCGTTAATAATATTTACCAATGTGTTTAAATAAGTCAGGCTTTTGTTGTTGCTCTGAGATGAGTCTCACTATGTCACCAAGCTGATCTCAAACTCGGAAGCCCGTGTGAACTTTCTGCATCAGCCTCCCAAATAGCTGGGGAAGCAGGCACATGCCATCATAGTGATTTACAA